GCCCAGTTTGTTTTTTCTACGGAAGCAGCAGGTGTGCCATAACCAGGACTGGTGCAATTCTTACAGCAGCTGCAGCACAATTACTTTGTCAAGCTATGTGAATAAAGTCACTCAGCTGTTATCACTAGGCATTATGGTTTTCCCAGGCAAAACCATGTTACAAAGTTGATGGGCCGGATACTGCATTCATCCAACAACATTCTCTCTGCCTTCATTGGGAGCTTTCTCTGAGTGAGGACTGCACAATGAAATCCAGCGTGCCACTAAACCAGATGTGGCAGAGGCAACATTCAGTTCTTAGATTTGGGTTCACCTACAGATTTGAACTATGACACGTTTGCCCCTCCGGGTAACAGGCAGCGGCACTCAGCTAGGAGATGAAACAGATGTTTCAAAGCTGCCACAGAGACTCAGTCATTTAATGGGAGAGCAAAGTAAAGGACTCGCTCACAAATGCAGCATGTGCAAGTTAAAAAAAAAAAAAAAAGGACACATTTCAGTTTACTCCAATTTTAGGCTCCAGGCTAATAGGTCTCACACACCAGATAGGATGGGACAGGGCTGGAATTAAGGCAGTATGTTTTCTCCCCAGAACCTTAGAGGATGGGTTATGCTCTTCTCCCAGACCTTATCAAACTCTTCCAGAAGAGACCTGACCTCCCAAATCACTCCTTTGCTGTGACTGGTCCTAATTCATATGGCCTTGAGCTTAGCAGATGCAGGAATGAGGGGGGAAGTTCAGGACTATTACGGTAGGGAATAGTCTTGGACAGTGGAAGAGTCCTGCAGCTGCAATGGCTTCTGGGAAGAGGATACCTGATGCAGCACACGGATACTGTTCCACACACATGTAGCACAAACCAACAACTCATCTAATATTCTCCATGGCAGCTGTACACATGCACTGAGAAGGAATCAGACTGAAAAGGTCTCACATCTGGTTCCTTCCAAAGGTTTCAGGTTCCGAGATGTACAGGCATGTTCAGCAGATTGACAAGGGACCCCTCTGGTAGGTGCCTCTGCTCTCTTATGGGATGTTGGCTTGTTCAGGGAGCTAGGAGGAGGAGAGCATTGTGAGAACGTATGTCCCCCACACACCAAAATCCCATTTTCCCATACCAGATCCTCTGCCATGGACTGAGCCCCAATGTCAATGGAGAGGCTGCTGAGCTGAGGGGGGTTCTGAAACTCGCGGTAGAACGTCCCCAAGTCCATTGGGAGAATGTCATCTTTTGAGAATGCTGGTTTCTAGAATTAAAGATACAAACATTAATCCCCATTTAGAGTTCTGTCAGATTTCCCCCTTTGCTCTAGCCACAGACAGAGGTACCATCGGCTACCAGCAAACAACTCCACATTACAGCAATAAATCTAAGTCAAATAATTGAACAGCAGCATCACCTATATCCCTTGCCATGAAGAATTAGTCTTTCCCTGATGACTTCATGAGCACCTAAAGCAGAGTATTTCCCTACAATCTGTACTCTGCTTTAGGTGTATGGGACACAGGGAAAACCTGAAAACCTGAACCCAGGCCATGGTGGATAAAGGAGGAGGAAATAATATCCCAAGTTGTGGGTTTACGAATGTCAATGTCTTTACCATTTTTAAGGATGCCCAGAGACCCTGTCCTTGATATGGGAGCACAATGACCCCTTGTTTGGAGAAATTCATCTATTTTAATTCAGCATCACACCAACATCTGCAGCCCACCCCAGATACAGGTGCTCTGTGAAAGTGCTAGCTTGGGCTGATAAAGGACTGCATGGACTTACAAAGTCAACCATGACAAAGTCATCATGTGTATTCCCGGTGCTGCTGCCACTGGAGCCCTCTGAGTGCAAGCTGCCCTGTAGAGGAGACTCAATGTCTGGGGAGTCAGGAGGATTCACCTGCCCAAGAAACCAGAGTTCATCAGTTTCAGATCCTGTTAGTGAGCCCATCTGTGTGTTGGGCCAGCATGGGAAGAAGCATAGTGACAATTACAAGGGCATGCAGACTGTAAGCACAGACTAGCAGGGGCTCTAAACCTGTAGCTGTTTCCATCTCTGGAAAGCCCAGACTCGGGCATAGAGGATGTTATTAAAAACCAAGCTGATGCAAGTAGCTAGTTCTTTGGTCAGAAGTGCATGCAAAGCTAAGGCCAGGAAGGATACATCTGCATTGCCTGATTCAAACTTGACACGCATAGATGGCTCGCGGGGGCTGCTGGGGGGGTTGGGTTCTTACCATGGGGTCATTATCCTCCAGCTCAACATTCTTGGGAGCAAACATGGCGAAAGGAATGTCCAAGCTGGCCATGGTCACCTGGAGAGATTCAATGGGTAGAACCTCAGCACTTCAGTCAGATTATTTGCATATGCAGCATGCATCATCCCATTGCAAGGCTGTATGTCAGGATTTGAAACTTTGCCCCACCAAAGTCACACTGGCAACTTGACTGGAACCCAAGGGCTAACTTCGAGGGCATAACATCGGAGAGACTGCAGTCACCATCCCCTTTAATACACAGGTGTAGCCCGCAGAGCCTACAGGGCCCAGCATACAGTAAAGCACCACATACAGAGACCTGCTGTCCTTGCTAAAGTCTGGCCTCCCGTTTCCTCTGGCTGCCCTGGTGATGCAGCGCCTGGCCCCCTCTGTCCAGCAATGGAAAAAGAGGAACAGTGGCATGAAGAAAAGTGCATCATGAGTCCACCTCAGAATGATCACTGCAAGTTACCTGATTAATGGGTTTGTTGACAAAGGCCCCCACCTTCCGGACAAAGATGGTCTCCAAGAGATCGTGTGGGGAGCCACTCTTCCCTTCGCTGCTGTTTGATACGGTTTCCGTGTCCTCACTGGGGGAGAAGGGTTGATGGCTCATTGCACATAAATAATTTAGACAAAACCACATTCTTTTGTCAAGATCCCCTTGGGTTTTTTTTTTTTATGCCTTCTCCTAATGCTGTGAGGAAGGGGAGGGAGAAGCATCTCTGTTCTTGTCAGACAGTCTTACCCTTCAGCCATCAGTATGCAATAGAGCAGTGGTCTCCAACCTTTTTATGCCCAAGATCACTTTTTGAATTTAAGGGCAATCCAGGATCTACCCCGCCCCTTCCCCGAGGCCCTGTCCCTTCCCCAAAGTCCCACCCCACTCACTCGCTCTCCCCCACCCTCACTCACTTTCTCCAGGCTGGGGTAGGGGGTTGCAATTTGGGAAGGGGTGTGGGCTCTGGGCTAGGGCCGAGGGGTTCACAGTGTGGGAAGGGGCTCTGGGCTGGGGCAGAGTGTTGGGGTGCAGGAGGGGATGAGGTGCTGGCTCTGGGAAGGGGGTCAGGGCTAGGGGTTGGGGTGCAGGAGGGGGTATGGGGTGCTGGCTCCAGGAGGAGGCTCAGGGCTGGGGTACGGCCTCCCGCTGGGCAACATTAACCTCCGGCAGCTCCTGGTCAGCAGCTCAGCGAGGCGAAGGCAGGCTCCCTGCCTATCCTGGCCCCACTCCGCTCCCAGAAATGGCCAACATATCCCTGTGGCCTCTGGGAGGGAGTGGGCGGCACATGGCTCCATGCAGCTCCCCGTTCCCGGCCAATGGGAGCTACGGGGGCGGTGCTTGCAGGCAGGAGCAGCACGCGGAGGGAGACCCCCGCTCCTGGGGGGTGTGCTGGTCGCTTCCAGGAGTGCACCACCAGAGATCGCAATCGACTGGGAAATCCTCTAGGATCGACCAGTCAATTAGGATGGACAAGTTGGTGACCACTGCAATAGAGACTGCAAGGCCGTGGAGCAGCTTTCTGCTTGGCTCTGCGAGGGAACCACCCCCATCAGTAGGGCAGAAAACCTCAGCCAGTCCTGAGGAAAGGCTGTTCAGAAGAGCTGCGTGGGAGGAGGGGGTTAATTTGAGAAATGGCAAGGATGCTCGAGCAGCTCTTGCCAATCACTATCGCTCTTTCAGGAACACAGAATTCTTGGATATCTTCCCTGTCAGGAGACAGGGTCGGGAATCTGAACCCCATGCTCCTTCCCAGGCCCCACGAAGCCAGAGTAGTCCAATATCACAGCAGCTAGTGCTAATCAGGTTAATTTTCACTGGGTGGCTACTAATTATAGTCTCAAAACCTGATTTTCAGAAGTATTCAGCAGCTCTAAGAATCTGGTCCTCAGTCGTCCGGCAGGTGTTAGCCATTTGATAACGACTGGTTAGTCAAGGAGCACAGGCCAGTGCATTAGTGCTACTATAACATAAACAGGAGTTTTTTATTGAGTAGAAAACCAAGTTGGTTAAGATGTTTTCTATGGCAACTGTCCCGTGGCCACAAGAGAAGATGGAACCACAGGGGACAAAGATCTGGAAAAACAAACAGGAAGCTCTAACTGGCTGAGAGGGAGGTTAGGATTTCATGCAAATTGGAGTTTAAAGTTGCATTGTTTCCTGTTAGACAAGGACTCTTGCCCCCAAGGTTTCTTGATAGAACAGTTAAATAGCTGTTTTCTATCACTGATGCTTTACGACAATTCAGATGAAGCCTTTTTGGGAGGGTAAAATTTACTATTGAAGCCACCTCAACTTGCTGTTCATGGATCAGACAAATGATCCAGAAGTAGTGTTTTGATATTGAAATGACACAAGGTGCTCAGAGACTACGAGGGCCACAAAGTATAAGCAGATAGACTCGATCTTTATTTGAGGCGTTTTTCAGCTTGTTTGTGCTCAGACTGAGAGCTCCCGGCTTTTTTAAGGCAGAGCAGCCAATCTAGCGTTATTGATCAATTTAAAAGAACTGCCATTCAAATGTTTAAAAGAAAAGTCAGTTTTAAATTTGATTCAACTTTATACACTCACAGATGAACAATTAGAAGCTCTGCACCTCTTACTACGACCTACCTACTGGAAGGAGTAGCTGCTGAGTAGAGGGCTCCATCCAAAGGGGTGCACATTACCATCCTCTCATGGTCAGCCTGAGTGCCATGTGCTGGCTGGCTAGGAACTGGGGGCACCCCACCCTCCTTCCCTGGAACAATCAACTAAGGTGGAAAGGAATGATCAAGTTAGCAATCTCAAGATTGATACAGCAACACACTACAGCACTAGAGTGGATTCTCTAATGCCAGGAATAAGTTCTTTTTGGCTCTCCATGATATGCTCTGACTACACTTCTGCTAGAACATAGCAGTGACTTTCTGACAGGGAGCAAGAGAGGGGAAGTCATGTGGGAGGGGACTTTCCCAATGAGAGAATTCATATATCGCTTCCTTCCTAATTCTCTCTGATGCTGATTCAGTGTCATTTCTCCAGACTTATCCCTGGCCTTACCCTGTTCTCAGTGCAATGTCTCCATTCTACCCAGTGGAAAACACCTTGATTAAAGTCCCACCTCAGGTGATTCCAAGAGCATAGTAGAGCTACTTCCTGGCTTATTTGCTAGCACCATGTTTTTTTAATTACTTTAGATCCTTTGCAGTCTTGACCTAGCTGCATAAAGAGGCATGCAATGGTTTTAAGGGATGTCTTAGCTGTGACACGCTTAGTGGCTGTGGTGCAAGCCACATTCATTCTCCCAACCTCTAAAAGTACCTGATGAGGATGTGCAGCATTCAAACCACCAGCAAAGATTACTGGATACCCCAGGTCAGCTGATCCAACTCCCAGGGCAGCAGGCTGATAGGAAAGACGAGAGCTGGAAAGCTAAGAAACGAGAAAAAATACAAAGAGGGGCAAAGAGAGAGGAGAGAGAAAGGGGAGAGGGAAAGCCCCCACAGTCTGAATAGTTATCAGAATCACTGGAGAAAGAACAGGAGATGTCACAGAGGCACAGTACATGCATGGCGCTGGACTACCAGAGTGCCTCAAAGATTTATATGGGAACCAATGCCCAAGGTTTGATTTAATTTATCTATTTTAAAACAAATCAGCCTTGTAACAGAAAGAGGATAAAGGTTTGGCCTTAAAACAAGCCTGGTTTGAATGGGAGAGAGAATGTAGGGAAAGCCTGCATGACAGCTCTTGCATCACATACTGGAGAAAGGACCAGCGCAACCACTTCAAAACTCATTGAAAAGCTCATATAAACACTGGCATTTTAAAGCCACTTCCTCATCAGGGATTCAAGCTCTCAGCATACTTACTGCAAACACAGGGGGATGTAGCAGGAATGAAGGACACCCCCCACCTAATCAAAGGAAACAAACCTTGGCCATAGGACATACAGGCCCTCAAGCTTGCTAGCTAAAAAGAAAACCAGCAAGCTAAGCCCCACAAGATTTCCTCCCAGTATCCCAAACCCAACCAGAAGGATGAGCATCAGGAGATGCTCCCCATCTTCAGCCACCTCTTCTCAATCACTTGATCCTAATTAGAAACACAGCTAGTGGGATCAATAGGAATCCCGTTTGTTCTTCTGACCTCAGAAGCAGCACTCTGTTAGGAGCCATGTATCACATGATATCCTCAATTGAGACAAGGTGGGTGAGGTAATATCTTTTATTGGACCAATTTCTGTTGGTAAAAGATATACAAGCTTTCAAGCTTAAAGAAGCTCTTCTTCAGGTCTGGGAAAGGTTCTCAGTGTCACAGCTAAATACAAGGTGGAAGAGATTGTTTAGCATAAGTAATTAACACATATTCTAAGGGAACATTTCAGAAGTGGCTTGCTAACTCCATGTAGTCACAGGATGAAAAGGGGAGGGCAATGAGTTACAGATTGTTGTAATAAGCCATAAATCCAGTGGTTTTTTTAAGACCATGATTTTTAGAGTCTAGCAAAGTTATGAAGTTAAGTTCCCAGGCTCATCTTTTGAAGGTTTTCTTTGAGGACGAGGATGAGAGATCAGATATAAAGCGATCACTTTGTGAAAAGTGTGCACCCACTCATGATAGGGTATTTTTGTCTTCTAACCTTTTCCTATACAAGTTCACTTGAGAGCATAGTGATTGCCTGATTTCACCCATATAGTTTTTATTGGGGCATTTAATGCACTGGATGAGATATATCACATATTGTGATAGGCATGTGCAGGACCCATGGATTTTGAAAGGTGTGGAGATAGGTCTGCCAGTTTTGCATCTGTTATGGCAGGGTCTGGTGCTGCTTTGAGTTGGTGGATCCTAGTCTCTGGGAAGCTTGCTTTGGATAGTGAGGTTGGGAGGTTG